CGGTTCAGCCCCTGTCAACAAGTTTGAACCTTACCTTCCTTCCAGTGTATTTGAAAAAGTGTGCATGGACACGAAAGCTTATACCTCGAGTTAAACTTTGTTGGTCTTAAAGGTGCCACTGGACTCTAAATGTGTTCTGCTGCTTCAGACCAACACGGCTGACCGCCTGGAAATAAATTGCCTGTACAATTTCCTTTCCTGGTCTCCAGGAAACGATATTGAACATACCAAAGCAGACTATTGGTCCAGTGGCAACTGGGCTCCTCTCATCTCTCCCGTCCCCCTTGTGTTTAACCTTGGTTAGGAAAAAACCCCAAAACAATGGTTAAGCATTACGTTTGCCTAGATTATCTGCTCATAAAGTAGGGGCGATTTCTCACTAGAGCTGCCTCGCAGCGCAGCCGTCGTTTGCCTCGACACAAACATGTAAATTTCACACCCGAGGCTGCGGGGCTGCATTTGACCCGCGGCTTCGCCCGATTTCCTCCGCAGTTTCGTGACCCTCAAAAATCAGGATCACGAAACTGCGGAGGAAATCGGGCGAAGCTGCGAGTCAAAATGCAGCCCCGCAGCTTCGGGTGTGAAATTGACATGTTTGTGTCGAGGCAAACGGCGGCCGCGCTGCGAGGCAGCTCTAGTGAGAAATCGCCCTAGATGTATTTTCTGTGCACTTGGCCTTTAAATGTTCTGTGCTTTGCTTAGGGTTGATGAGAGCAGAAAGAGGTACATTGGTGTCCTTTGTGGCCTGGGGTGGAACCACGCTCTTGGAACCCCGGTCCTTCCAGACCATGACATGGAACTTGCATTTGACGTGCAGATTAATGCTGATGATATAACACAGGTAAAAAAAACCCCACCACATTAATTCTTTGGTTTGTAACAGATTGGCAGATTTATGGCAGATTGATTTAGTTATTCAATTTACTTCAACTCCACCTTTGTCCCCAGTGGGGACCCAAAGCAGCTTACATCATTTCTCCTCTCTTTGTCCACAACAACCCTGCGAGGTAGATTAGGCTGAGAGAGTGCGGCTGGCCCAAGGTCACCCAGTGAGCGCCCATGGCACAAATGGGGGTTTAAACCTGGGTCTGCCAGATTCTAGTCCGACACTCTTAGCCGCTGCACCACACTGGCTCTCAGCTGTGGCTAATGACTGGTGTCAGAAGTGAAGGTGACTTCCACAATAGTAATACACTTACTGGGTTGTTGTTTTTTTAAAATATCCCACCAGTGGCATGTGCCAGGGGAGCTCCTGGAGAATAGCCCAGCGTGGAGTCCGCGAAAGCAGACCCTGGATTGTAGTTGGATGCGCTCAGGGGTCATTTTGTAGAAAAAGAGGTGCAGGAGCTCATTAGCATAACTCATTAGCATAACTTACTGCCATATGCCCCCCCCCCTGACAGCACCGGAAGTGTGTCAGAAGGCAACCCCCACCACTCAGGCTCCCCTGGCTGTTTTGAGCTATTGGGGGGGGGGGAACGTGCAGATCTGTCCTGGCAGAGGAGGGAGAGTTTATGCCTGAATAAAACTTGGACTGTTTTGGACTGGGGGTCCGGGGGGAGCTCTGCAACTTACCTGGCTGCTTCTTGCTCTGGCTGAGGGCTGCTGGGAGCAGGGGGTGGGGCTTGTTACATGTGCCCGCCCCCTGGACTCTTTACTACTGGAGCTCCGCTCCTGTGAGTTCCTGCAGGAAATGACCCCCGGATGCGCTAAGCATTACCACTCTGGTTAGACAATAAATTCATTTTTTAAAAGTTCTCTATTTGGCTGTCAGTCTAAGGGCGATTCTGCATTGGCTTTTCCCTCCGTTGTTTTACCAAAGGTGCCACTCAAAGCCACATTCAAATAGCCCTGGTCAATGCCATACTGACTGTGAAGTCACCCCTGAATGGCCATCAATCTATGCAGAAGGTACCATCAAAGAAAGTGAAAGCGGCATGCAATGCCGAGGGGAATTTCTGGGCCAACGTGGGTTTGGTAAAACAACGGAAGGAAAAGCCAATGCAGAATCGCCCTAAGTGTTCTCAAAACACAGCTCTTCTCTGTTCACAGATAAACATCCTAAGAAAGGCCATTAACAAGTTAGTCAGTGACGGCCCTCATGGCCTGTTACATCTGGGTAACGAGAGAATCGCTCAGTTACAGAACACTGCTCGCCAGAACCTTTTAAGGTAAGCTCTCTTTCCTTAGCCTTTTCCCCGTTTGTTGAATCGTTTTTATATTTAGCAACTGTGGGTTGGGTCCTGCAGATCCCGTTTTGCTAACGGTGGTCGTTCGTCGAAAGCACAGGAAGCCTTCTCGTGAAACCTGACGCAGTTCCAGAAGCCGGGCTGGAATAAAAACCCAGTGTGGAAAAGCCTGTTTTGCTCTTGGCAGTGTCTTTTATGCCAGTGCTTCCCAACCTGTGGGTCGGGACCCAAAAGTGGGTCACAAAGCCTCTGAAAGTGGGGTGTGGACCAGCCCTCCTTGATGGCCGCCGCTTCCCCTTTCCATTCCTGTTTAGTATTTTGGGGGACGGCAAAGGATGAGACGGTTAGATAGTGTTATCGATGCAACGAACATGAAATTAAGCAAACTCCGGAGCATGACGGAAGACAGGAGGGCCTAGCATGATGTTGTCCATGGGGTTGCGAAGAGTTGGACTTGACTGTGCAACTGAACAACAACAACACATTTGTATTTTGGGAACCAAGTTCTGATCCTGGAAACAGTATCTTCTTGGTCTTTTTTTCCTTCACTGCATATACATGTCGATCAGGTAAAATGTGTCCTGATGGTTACTAGAGTGAGATTCTTAGAATCTTATGGTGGGGTTAGAGAGAGTAATGGATAAGGAGAGGGAGTCAGGGGCTGGAATCTAACCTCCATGTGCAAAAGCTGTGTATGTCAGAATGCCACTTGCTTGGGTTCATATTGGGGGCAGCTGTGCCCTTTGTGCAGTGTTTGTTGGCTTCTCAACACATCTAACATAAGAACATAAGGGAAGCCAGTGTTGGATCAGGCCAATGGCCCATCCAGTCCAACACTCTTGTCACACAGTGGCCAAAAATACCAGGTGCCATCAGGAGGTCCAGCAGTGGGGCCAGGACAGTAGAAGCCCTCCCATTGTTGCCCCCCCCCAAGCACCAAGAATACAGAGCATCACTTGCCCCAGACCGAGAGTTCCTATCTATATCTTGTGGCTAATAGTTGCTTTTATCCAATTCCCTCTTGAAAGCGTCCATGCTTGTAGCCGCCGCCACCTCCTGTGGCAGTGAATTCCATGTGTTAATCACTCTTTGGGTGAAGAAGTACTTCCTTTTATCCGTTCTAACCCGACCGCTCAGCAATTTCATGGAGTGTCCACGGGTTCTTGTATTGTGAGAAAGGTAGAAAAGTACCTCTTTCTCTACCGGCTGTATCCCATGCATAATCTTATAAACCTCAGTCGTGTCACCCCTCAGCCGTCGTTTCTCCAAACTAAAGAGCCCCAAGTGCTTTAACCTTTCTTCATAGGGAAAGTGTTCCAACATAAGAGAAGCCAATGTTGGATCAGGCCAGTGGCCCATCCAGTCCATCATTCTGTCACACAGTGGCCAAAAATACCAGGTGCCATCAGGAGGTCCAGCAGTGGGGCCAGGACAGTAGAAGCCCTCCCATTGTTGCCCCCCCCCAAGCACCAAGAATACAGAGCATCACTTGCCCCAGACCGAGAGTTCCTATCTATATCTTGTGGCTAATAGTTGCTTTTATCCAATTCCCTCTTGAAAGCGTCCATGCTTGTAGCCGCCGCCACCTCCTGTGGCAGTGAATTCCATGTGTTAATCACTCTTTGGGTGAAGAAGTACTTCCTTTTATCTGTTCTAACCCGACTGCTCAGCAATTTTATTGCGTGCCCACGAGGTCTTGCACTGTGAGAAAGGGAGAAAAATACTTCTTTCTCTGTCTGCTCCATCCCATGCATAATCTTGTAAACCTTTGTCATGTCACCCCTCAGTCACATCTGGTTAGCCACTAAAAAATAGAATGCTGAACTAGATAAGTGCCAAGGTCATAGTTTGCCTAGGGCACCAAAAACCCTTGGATCAGCCTTGGAAGAGCCACCATACCAAGTAGGGTCACCATACCAAGTAAATTTGGACTTGTGGGCCACCGTACCAAAAGAGTTGAGAACTGCTATTTTATGCCTCAAGTATGAGACGCCAGGAGATGTTCTCAGGGGTCACGTCCTTATCTTTTAAATTCCAAGCCTCTGTATCATCCTGCTGTAATGCTGAACCTTTTGATGCATTATTCTCCAGATAGTAAGCGAACGATCAGTTGTGGTACTCTCTCAGACCCTTAAAAAAAACTTTGATCTTAAATGTTGCTACTCACTCTGATGCTGTGTGAGGTACCCTGTGTTTTTAAAAAAAGCCAAAGCTGGTTACTTTTTTCTCAAATACAGTGATGGAAAAACAAAATACTCAAATACATAATACATCATTATGCATTCAGGGCAATTCTGTCTCGTCCTTTTCTGCAGTGTTTAAGTTAATTGTATTTACCATATGTCACCACTACTTAAGAGGAGAATATGCGTTTTGAAAAACAGCTCTAGACAGAATGAATTAAAATATATCCCTGCTGTATTTTGCAGAACTCTGGGAGACAGGAGATGGCAGGCAGGGAGTCCTTAGGAATCAACTTGTCACACACCACGAAGCATTCTAAAAATAACTGGGATGTATGTCTGTAGTTGAATGAACGCACATCCATGTGCATTCCATGGTTTGTACAAACGTTAACTTGGGGGGTCGAGTTGGATCTGCTAAATTATTCTCTTGTCGGGATGGACTGAATAGATAAGGTCAATGCAATGCTGCCCTCTCAGCAGAGTCACGATAGTGCAAGATTAGGCCACTGGTGGGCCCAGTAGCTTAATCCAAACCCAAGAGCCTTTCCTACAGACCTCTGGTGTAGCCTAACCCTTCATTTTGCACCTCGGCAGCTTTTCATGTGCATTGTGGGCAGTCTTCCCTCTAAGCTGTGGAGTCTTGTGAGCAAAACTTCTACTTTGTGAGCTACTGGCATTAAAGTTGTGAGCCAGTGATTTGGCTACCGCATAAATGAGTTTGCTCTGGAGCCATCCTTCCTGAGCCTAGACAGAAATGTGTGAGCTGGAGGCTAAAAAACTGTGAGCCAGCTCACACTAACTTATCTTAAAGGGAACACTGCTTGTGGGTTCACAGTCAGATTGGTCACACACCCAAAGCAGGAATTTTGAACCTGGATCTGCTCCAAGCGCTGAAGGGGGACGGGGTAGAGAGTCCGTGTCTTCATCCCTGCATCTGACCTTCAGGAATGCACAGTCCTCCCCCCGGTAGTGGTAGAACATTTATTTTATTTACTTACTTACTTTATTGATATCCCACCTTTCACTCCACTGGGGACCTGAAGCAGCTTACATCATTCTCCTCTCCTCTGTTTTATCCTCACAACAACCCTGTGAAGTAAGTTAGGCTGACAGTGTGTGATTGGCCCAAGGTCACCCAGCAAGCTTCCACGGCACAAGTGGGGTTTCAAACCCAGGCCTCTCTTGCAGAATCAATCCCTGCGGGTCTCCACTTGAAAGATTCTCAATGTCAGGTGTTGGGAAAGCTCTTTCTTAGCCTGATGCCCAGGAGAACTCGTTAGAGTTGACAGTGTTGGAGCAAGATGGATCAGTGGTCTGACTCTCTGTATAAGGTATCCTCATATGTACAAGCAGTTTCTAAACTGATAGCTCTCTTTCCCCTGCACGCATCCCAAATCTGAACTGAAGTCTGCTAAGCAGGGCTCTTTTTGTAGAAAAAGCCCAGCAGGAACTCATTAGCATAATAAGCCACACCCAATAGCAAAACTCATTAGCATATTAGGCCACACCCTGACAGCACCACTCATTAGCACATTAGGCCACACCTCCATGTTACCAGAAGTGTGGTCATCCAGCCACACCCACCTTTCCCTTCTTATTCTGTTTACCTTGTTTGTTGTCAAACCAGGGCTTTTTTTGTAGCAGGAACTCCTTTGCATGTTAGGCCACGCACCCCTAATGTAGCCAATCCTAATGCGTTTCTGCTATTGGGTGTGACCTATTATGCTAATGGGTTCCTGCTGGGTGTGGCCAACTCAGGAGCCAGCAGGAATTTTTTTCCGTTCCTGTGCGTTCCTGCCCAAAAATAGCCCTGCCTAAGAATAATTGAAGATGGAGGAGCTAGTCTCAAAGCAGAGACTGCTTCCTGGTACATATTGGCCCTACAAGTTCCTGTGAAGAAGGCTTATTTGTTTATGTACGTGATCTTAATAATGTCATCTTTCTGCTTAAAAAAGCAAAACATGCAAAAAACGGTTTCCTTGTCTCCAGCTGAATAAGCTAGGCAAGAATTTCCAACTGATTTTACCAGCCTTCAGGATTAAGTATTTAAAAAGAACTGTTAAATACTGGGTTCTGGATGCATTGCAGCGATCGGCTCTAGTTTATTTAGTGATTTCAGGAACACAACAAGGACACGCAGCAAAGTGTGAGCCCTGCTTACAAAGCATGCAAACACCAAACCCCACACACACCCACTCCCAAGAATAGGCTATTGACATTACACTACTTATGTATTGGTCTACTCCAGGATCCTGGTAAGCTATTGTTCTAGAGTAGCAAGCTCAACCAGTTCCAGGTACACCTTGAGGGCTGGCTTAGGTTCAATACATAACAAGAACTGATATTGTAAATGATACAGTAGGCCAACCAAACGCTCTTTTTTCCAGACAGGTTAATTCCCAAAATATGCTTATCCCTCCTTCCCTTGAAAGCCTTCAGGGGGAAGAAATTCCAAGACAGCATCCATTCACACGAAAGAGGAGCCCTGCTGGATGAGACCAGTGGTCCACCTAGTCCAGCATCCTGTCTCACACAGTGGCCAACCAGGTCCTCTAGAGGGCCAACATCAGGACATAGAGGCCAAGGCTTTCTGCACTGTTCTTTTCAGTGCTTCTATGCCCATATTGGAGCTGCGGTGGCTCAAGTGGTTAAGACGCTGAACTGCAGGCTGTGGAAGGTCAGTAGTTCAGCAGTTCGAGACCCAGGTGCCCATCTCTAGTTCCAGCTCCTGCCAACCTAGCAGTTCGAAAGCAAGAAATTGCAAGTAGATAAATAGGTACCACTTCGGTGGGAAGGTAACAGCGTTCCGTGGGCCTTGGTGTTTAGTCATGCCGGCCACATGACCACAGAAACATCTTTGGACAGCGCTGGCTCTTCGGCTTTGAAACAGAGATGAGCACCGCAACCCTAGAGTCGGATTCGACTGGCTTTCGAGCAAGGGAACCTTTACCTTTACTTTGTGCCCATATTGCTTTGTTGTTTTTTTCTTTTCGGCACATGTGTTGCTCCCTCTCAGGCCCGTAGCCACAAGGGTGATGCACATTGGAGCCAAAAATCCTAAATATAAATACACATTGATGGGGTCTGAACTGGCAGAGACTGATCAAGAGAGAGATCTTGGAGTTGTAGTAGATAACTCACTGAAAATGTCGAGATAGTGTGTGACTGCAATTAAAAAAGGCCAATGCTATGCTGGGGATTATTAGGAAGGGTATTGAAAACAGATCAGCCAATATCATAATGCCCCTATATAAATCAATGGTGCAACCTCATTTGGAGTACTGTGTGCAGTTCTGGTCACCACACCTTAAAAAGGATATTATAGCTTTGGAAAAAGTACAGAAAAGGGCAACTCGAATGATAAAAGGGTTTGAACACTTTCCCTATGAGGAAAGGTTAAAGCGCTTAGGGCTCTTTAGCTTGGAGAAAAGACGACTGAGGGGTGACATGATCGAGGTTTATAAGATTATGCATGGGAAAGAGCAGGTAGAGAAAGAGATACTTTTCTCCCTTTCTCACAGTACAAGAACTCGTGGGCACTCAATGAAATTGCTGAGCGGTTGGGTTAGAACGGATAAAAGGAAGTACTTTTTCACCCAAAGAGTGATTAACACATGGAATTCACTGCCACAGGAAGCTACAAGCATGGACGGCTTCAAGAGGGAATTAGATAAGCATATGGAGCAGAGGTCCATCAGTGGCTATTAGCCACAAGGTATAGATAGGGGCTCTGGGGCAAGTGATGCTCTGTCTTCTTGGTGCTTGGGGGGGGCAACAGTGGGAGGGCTTCTAATGTCCTGACCCCACTGATGGACCTCCTGATGGCACAGTGGTATTTTTGGCCACTGTGTGACAGAGTGTTGGACTGAATGGGAATTTGGCCTGATCCAACATTGGCGTCTCTTATGTTCTTATGACTCCCTCTCCCATATTTGCCCTGCCTCCTCATCATTGTGCCCTGGGGTGGCCCCTCCCTCCTGCTCAGCCAGTGGGAAAGTGGAGGGGAAGGCCTCAGTATCCCCCATCCCTCTGCGCTCTGAGCAGCCCGTGGCAGGGCTGCCATGGCTGCCTGCCCCGTCGCTGCGGTCCTTGCACGCTTCGCTTGCCACCCCGGGCCTGCAGAGAAAAGGCCAAGTGCCACACCAGCTGGGAGAGAGTTTGGGGCTGGCTGCAGAGGGTGCGCGGCGGGCACATGGAAGGGAGGGCGGCAGTGGGAGGGAGTTGGAGGCAAGAGGGGGAGGCCCTGACTTGCCCCTTTCTCTCTGCCCAGCACGGCCAGCAGCTTCCAAAGTGTGTCGAAAGTTTCACTTTCAGAGGCGGCGGGCGGGGTCACATGGAGTAGAAGCGAGGCAAGAGCCGAGCGTGAGCCCCGCTGAGCTGGGGAGGGCGGATGGGCATGGCTTCTTCTTTCCTTCTTTCCCTTCCCGCCCAAATCTTTGAAATTAAGGAGTTCACCTGCCAGCAGATCAAGGACATGGGGTGCCCGTTCCAGCTGTAAGGACCACTCTGGCCTTCCTCCCCCCTCTGCCCCGGCTGGGCAGGGAGAAGGGTTGGACGCCGAGCCCTCGGCCAACCCCCTGGAGGTGGCTTCGGCTGTGGGGAGCTCAGGACGTTGCTGCTTGCTTCAGGGATGGGCAACAGGATGCACTAGACCCTGCCAGGTAAGGGGGAGGTGGGGAGAGAGGCAATGACTGGTCCTCATTCCACGAAGCTCATGGAGAGTTGGATCCGCAGCCATCTTGAAGAGACCTGAGCACCTCAGGAGTAGTGGAAGAAAAGGATGCCTCCCTGCTCATCCCTGCCCCTCCTTCCCCCTCCCCTCTCTCTTAGCCACGCCGCCATATCACAGGCCCTCCCACACCGTCAGCCCCCTTGTTGCCCCCTCAACAAAAAATTCTGACTACAACCCTGCTCCCTCTAGTGGCTGCTTCGATGTTAACATTGCTGTATTTCTGGCGTATTTCCCTCCATTTTAAATGTGCAGGGAAATACTCCGGAGATACAGTGATGTAGTATCGAAGTGACCACTAGAGGGAGCAAAACATGTGAGGAAAAGGGGGGGAAATGAAGCAATACGAGCCCCCAAGCGACAAGAAGAAGAGTGTAGAAAGCCCTTACCTAGCCGTTAGCTCCACTGCCCCTTCTCAAGTCCTGGTGTGCTTTGTATAAAGAGACATTGCACAGTCTTTTACTTCCAACAATGCATGGCTTAGTCTTATAGCTTTATGTCGTTTTGTAGTCTTGTAGAAAAGCAAATAATTTTTTTTCCCCAAAAGAAATACACAGCAATGTATGGATGCAGCCCAAATCTACAGTGTGTAGAAGAAAAGCTGCATATCTCTTTGCCGTGATTCTTGCCAACATTGATGCTGAAATACAGTGCAGTTGGGTCTCATTCACTGAGCATCTTGGCAGTTATAATGGGTTCTCTGAATAAGGAGATGACTTTTATTTGAGTGTTTCTTACTCATTATTTTTGTATTCCCCCCCCAGCTTGATTTGCAAACCACAGCCTCGGGAAGTAATTCCTCCTAAGTGGTATGCAAAGCCATATGAGTGGAGCCAGGTAAGATTTGCCAAAACAATTAAAGTCTGTTAAAGTAACATGATAATGAGACTAGGGATGCTGCGAATTTTGCCGTGAACACGTTCAGTGGTCGAATTTACGGTGTTCAAAGGTGACAGTGGCACATGAGCCGATCACTCAGTCTGTTCGGTTCATGCCAAGCAGCCACGAATGCCCATCAAACCAGTTTGCATCGGGTTTCTCTAGACCTGCATGTGTGCGAAAATGCTGCCGATTCACACTGATTCTCAGCCTTTTGTGTCACTAAGGGCTACTTAGCCAATAACCAATTTGGTGGATTTTATCGAAACACAACATTCATTTGTGGCTGATTTACATGATTTGCAAGTGATCTGTTTAAACATTTGCCTGATGAGCAGCATAGTTATGCATCAAGAGCTTGGGGCGAGGGGGGGTAGTAGAACTCAACCGGACTGTGTGAGAGCAAAAAGCTAATTGTGCCATTCTGCCTGGTTAGTATAGAATATAGTGAAACAGCCTGCCGAACACCCATGAGCAGTGGGTTGATGAGCTATCAAACTGATGGTTGAAAAATTGGGTCTCTGTTCGCAGCTGGGAAACAGGGAGCAAGCAAAGCGGTAACGGTGACTCTTCAGCATTTCAGGCAGAAACTCTGTTGAACAGGATGCCTATTAATCTCCACAGCCAATCACACCCACCTAGCCTTTCCCACTTTCTAAAAGCATTTGGCGAGCACCAGGAAAGGTGTCGGCGGGGGCCAGGGTGCCCACAGGCACCGCGTTCGGGACCCCTGCAATAAACTATGCAAGGATAAAAGATAACTGCTTACATTTTTCAAGAACGTTCTAAAAATGTGCTCCTGAACAGTTCCGTTTTACTACAGCCGTGCATTCTTTTGCAAGAACTGCTGTTCTGACGAGTTCCATTTTGCTCCACCTTTTTTTCATTTTTCCTGGCCTTGTTACCGGGTAACCTTTTTAAGCGGAGATACCACCGATTGAACCTGGAACCTTCTGCCTCCAGGGCACGGGCTCTACCACTGACCCATGGCCCCGCCAGAAGGTTGATGACACACATGGCAAATACCTCTGGTTCCCTCTGGTTCCTGGGGGGGCCCCCCCATATCCCATGACCCTTTCTGTAAAGATTCAAGGAGGCCATGAGCAGTCTCACAAAGCTATCCAATGCGCCCTCTAAGCTGTGGAGTCTTGAGAGCAAAAATTCTACTTTGTGAGCTACTGGCATTAAAAGATGTGAGCGAGTGATTTGGCTACTGCGTAAATTAGTTTGCCCTGGAGCCGTCCTTCCTGAGCTAAGACAAAAATGTGTGAGCTGGAAGCTAAGAAACTGTGAGCTAGCTCACACTAACTCAGCTTAGAGGGAACACTGGCTATGACCTCTTTCCCATACCACAGTCCTCCTCACCATGAGCTTTCCTTCTCAGAACTTAAAAAAAACCTTCACTGCTTGCTATGACTTTTTAACACTCTGGGATTTGGTTAATAATCGTTCCGATTTTATTTTTTCGATAGCCGAAGATGAAGTTTGTCATCGACCAGTCTGAAGTGCGGGATATGAGAGAGAAGAATGCGTCCCTTTATCAGTTGCATAAGTTGATTCTGTTAAACACCTGAGTCTCCGATACTAAGCACGCTTACTGGAAGGGAGTCCCATTGAATTTTGCAGAATTTATTTCTTAACAAATGTGTTTTAAATTCAGAATGTTGACTGTCTTTGCAGTCATCTTTGTTCAAGTGCAAGACAAAAAGAATGCAAGAAATGTTTAAAGAAATGCATCCGAAGTTCTTAGTTTGTATCTCCCCCCATCATCTTTTCGACCTTAAAAAACAAGTATGTGTATTGTGCCTGAATTTGGGATTCTTTGGGAGTAAAGATGGATCTCCCAATATATTCTCTCATTTCTCTTCTCTTGAAACTTTGCTCAGTAGCTGGGGGCAGGGCACAGGGAGAGAGATTTGTTAGGGATGGTGGTCCTGGGAGAAAGGGGATGTGGCCCTTCTGTCCTGTTTTCCTGATCTGAATTTGGGCCCCTTGAAGCACTGTTGATCCAGTAAGAGGAAAATGTCCTCCTCCTACTGGGGCAAATGACACTTCCAGAAAAGTGTTCAACTGCCTTTGATCCAGTCCAGAATCATTCCTCTTCTCCCCCCCCCCCCCCCCCCCCGCCCTGCACACATGCACTACTGACCTTTCAGTTTAAAGAGATGGATGATATTAACCACAGTGCCTTGCCTAGTTTGGTCCTTGGTTTTCTCTTTAAAGGGTTGACAAGACACATATTTTGATATAGTTAAGAAGATTCTCTTCGTGGGTCGTTTGGTAAACTGTCCTTCAAATGACCAAACTGATAAATCCAGCTGAGGCGTTTGCGTTTTAACTCTTCTTCTGTCTGGCTGTTGCGCCAACTAATATTTCCTTTTTGCATATGCCAGTTGTTCAAGCGTGGCATTTACTATTTGCCTTCCTGTTACTGGCTGTGTAAGAACCTCTAGTTTTGTTTTCCAGAATAAAGTTAACGAACATCGTATGCTGTGTCTTGGTGATTTTTGTGTTGAATCAGTTTTGTCTTGCTGTTTCCATCCGCACAGTAAAGTGGAGAAAATTGTAATCTTTTCCTAGCCCTCTGGAAAATCCTTTTGAAATACCATTTGTTACTACACTCCAGCATTCACAGTTTGATTGAATAAAGCTGCTTTGAGGCTTGTTTTATCTTCATTGGAAATCAATGACCTGCTGCAATACAAGGTTTTGGAGCGGGGGAGTTAGTGGGGGTGGTGGAAAGCGCCCTCAAGTGGCAGCCAACTTACAGTGAGGAGTGGGGGAATCAAACCCAGTTCTCCAGATTAGAGTCAGCCACTCTTAACCACTACACCAAGCTGGTTCTCCAGGACTTATTCTTAGATAGTAACAGGGCTATTTTTGGGCAGGAACGCACAGGAGCGGAATTCTGGCTGGCTCCCGAGTTGGCCACGCCCAGCAGGAACTCATTAGCATAATAGGACACACCCAACAGCAGAAACTCATCAGGATTGGCTACATTAGGGGTGTGTGGCCTAACATGCAAAGGAGTTCCTGCAACAAACAAGGTAAACAGAAGCAAAAGGTGGGTGTGGCTGGGTGACCACACTTCTGGTAACATGGGGGTGTGGCCTAATATGCTAATGAGTTTCTGCTGTTGGGTGTGGCCTGTTATGCTAATGAGTTCCTGCTGGGCTTTTTCTACCAAAAAAGCCCTGGATATTAAGTACTGTTGCACAGAACATTTTAGAATCGGGCAAGAATCTTTACAAGTTACTTGTCCGAGTTTTGACAGGAGTCGCTTCCATACTCGGGTGCAACATGGACCGTCTTCTTGGAAATGTCTTTTCAGTATTTAAATTAGAAAAAAATTGCTTCAGATCCTTCGAGGTTCACAACAGCTGTTGGCTCTGGAGGGAGAAGCTCAGTGATCTCTGTATTTTGGGACATTTCCGAGTACTGTTTTAGCTTTGTCCGTCCACACCGATCGTCTTTGGACACCTTGCTTTAGGTGCCACCGCCATCTGAGGCCAGATGGGTGGCAGCCTGATAAAATGACTCCTCGATCGTGGCAACGAAACTTCAGAACACCCTTCCCAGAAGATTCGTCTGCCTCCTTCTGTCATTGAATTCCACCAGTGGGTGAAGATTTTTTGCTTCGTTTGGAGTACCCCCAGTAGAATCCTTATTGGCCTCCTCCCTGGTAGTATGTGTCTGTGTATATGTTTTTATTGTAGTGGTAAATATTTGTACATATATTGTAAATGTTTAAATGTCTTAAAATCTGATGTTTGCTGTCGTGGGGGATACTATCTGGGTATAAAGGCAGCATACATATGTTTTAAATAAAACAAAATCGAAATGCTGTTTCTCCACCCTCCAACAGATTCCTAGGACAATCAGTGGTGGGAAGTGCCATCAAGTCACAACCGACTTATGGCGACCCCATAGGGTTCTCATGGCAAGAGACATTCAGAGGTGGTTTGCCATTGCTTGCCTCTGCATAATGACTAGGGATGGGCACGAACTGCATTTGTGCAGTTCAGTTTGTTGCTGAACCACGAACCTATACGAATCTTGAGTTTGATTCGCGAATCAAATGGGTTCGTATGGGTTCATGACCCCTGCTTTCTGCTCCCCACCACTTTTCGTGAGGAGCAGAAAGCAGGGATTAAAATTGCTCCAAGCCCAAGGCAAGGAAAGTTCTATAAGATCCTCCCAAATAGGACTAATCATACACCTTCATTCTACCATACCTCATTTCTGGGAATCTGCTGCCCCCCGGTGGGCTTTGTGGATTTACTTAGTAATTTGATTGTCTTGCTGTTCCAAGCTTGCTCCAAAATGCAATAATAATCCCACTATTGCTGCCACAGAACAAAGTTTGAGTCCAGTGGCACCTTTAAGACGAACAAAGTTTAATTCTGGGTATAATCTTTCGTGTTGGTCTTAAAGGTGCCACTGGACTCAAACTTTGTTCCGTTGTTCAGACCAACACAGCTATCCGTCTGAATCTATTGCTGTCACAGTGAACAGGATGAGTAAGGGGAGAGTTAATGATGTGGAGAGATTCTTGGGTGAATGGTGGTCCATGGGATTTCTTTTACTATCCTTGAAGCTTACTTAATGTGAAAAGAGACTGAAAAGGCAGGTCTTTGCTATCATCAACATTTGCAGATGTAATGGCACCAGTACACACATACCATCAAACATTTCTATTTATCTTCTCAGTGGGGACCCAAAGCAGCTTACGGACATCATCATCTCCTCCTCTACTTTATCATAACAGCCCTGTTAGGTAGGCTGATCTGAGATAGCGTGGGAGGTCCAGGTTTTATGGCAGAGGAGGGATCGGAGTCCAGTTCGCCCAGGTCTTAATGTGACACTAACTACCCCCCAGGGCGGAATGGGGGGTAAAGTTCCCAGATCCAGTTGGGAAACTCATGGAGATTTGAGGATGGGTCTTGGGGAGGGCAGGGATTTCAGTGGAGTACAATGCCATAGCGTCTACCCTCCAAAGCATCTATTTTCTTGGGGGGAACTGATCTCTGTAGCCTGGAGAAAAGCTGTAATTCTGGAGGATCCCCAGGTCCCACCTGGAGGCTGGTATTCCCTAAAAAAGCAGTGAACCTCTGAACAGCAGTACTAAGAGGAAGCGGGGAAAGGTCTTGACCTCTGTCCGATTACAGAGCTGGGAACAATACAGAAGAGGGAAACCAAGATAGGGGCTCTGGGGCAAGTGATGCTCTGTCTTCTTGGTGCTTGGGGGGGTCAACAGTGGGAGGGCTTCTTGTGTCCTGGCCCCACTGGTGGACCTCCTGATGGCACTGGTATTTCTGGCCACTGTGTGACACAGAGTGTTGGACTGGATGGGCCTTTGGCCTGATCCAACATTGGCATCTCTTATGTTCTTATGTTCTCCTATAAGGAAATGCTCAAGAGTCTGGGACTTTTCAGTTTAGGACAGAGACGACTAAGGGGAGATATGATACAGGTTTATAAAATTATGGTCGAAACAAAGTTGACAAAGAGAACTTTTTCTCCCTCTCCCAAAAGACTAGATCTCAAGGGCACCCAATGAAGCTGATGGGGAGTAGGTTCAGGATAGACAACAGGAAATACTTTTTTACACAGCCAGTGATTAAAATGTGGAATTCACTGCCAGAGGGTTCATTGATGGCCACAGGCATAGACAGCTTTAAAAGGGAATTAGGTTCATGGAGGAGAGGTCTATCAGTGGCTACTGGCCATGGTGACTAAAGGGAACCGCCACACTCGGAGGCAGTCAAGCTCTGAGTCCCAAAGCCAGGAGGCAACGCCAGTGGAGGGCCTTGGCCTCTGTGCCTTGTTGTTTGGCCCTCCAGAGGAACTGGTTGGCCACTGTGTGAATCAGGGTGCAGGACCAGATGGACCAATGGTCTGATCCAGCAGGGCTCTTACGTTCTTAAAGTAGTTGGCTGCTGTATGAAACAGGATGCCGGTCTGATCCAGGAGGGCATCTCTTGCGTTGTATCTTACGCAGGGAAACGTCACTGTGCATGGCCTATAGCTTACCCGCTTCACTGTTCTAACACACGAAACTACTTAGAGAGGTCATCCGGAGGTCTGCACCGAAATGCCATCGGTAGACGCATTTTTAAACCAGCCCCACAGTTGTAAAAATCTCACATCCGTCTTGAGCCTTAGAGGTGGGGGTGTGGTAGAATGCGGTAACTCAGGTCCTTTTCCACTCCATTTCCTTTTTCGCCATTATGAAGCACGGGGGGAGGGGGTTGGGAACCTTCCTTTTGAAAGTGAGCTCTTGCCCTATG